TTTCGTAGATCCGTGGTCGGCCCCGAATGCCTTCAGGTCGTCGAGCACGCACTTCGGCCAGTTCTGTTGCTGTCCACCCCTATGTCGCTTCTCCCCCCCTGCCAGTTCGCCGAACATCAGTCGTTNGTGGTTTGTTGAAGAGTTCCCGGCCATATTGCCTGAGGCACGCCCACGCTCCTCTGCTCCTGTAGTNAACCGTACAACAGTGCCTCCATCGCCTCCACCTGGAGCAGGCGGATTTTGAGTCGGAATGGCGCTTGTGGTTTGTTGAAGAGTTCCCGGCCATATTGCCTGAGGCACGCCCACGCTCCTCTGCTCCTGTAGTTGATCTCCTGGGTGAGGTCGCCATGTTCGTTGACGGGGCCACCGAGGTACCGGATCTCGGTCGTCTGGGCGTATTTCTGTCCCGCGGCTTCGATGGTCAGTGGTGGAGGCGGGCCGGGCTGTGATGTTGAAGTCGGCTTGTCCTTTGCGCGCATCAGCAGCGTCTCCGTCTTCTTCACCGACACCATTAGCCCGAACTCTTCGAACACCTCAACGATGATGGTCATCATTCTCGCCAGTCCTTGTGCAGACCTCGATACGACGCCGGCATCATCGGCATACAGCATCCCCCATACTGCCCTCCGTACTCGGTCAAGGGGTGTCTCCTCCCCCCCCCCCGCTTCCGTCTTCCCCTCCTCCAAGCACACCAGGCTCCGCAGAACAACATCATCCTCGCTGAATCGGATGACAACGACCTCGAGGACCTCGGCGAAGAAGATGTTGAACAGCAGTGGGGATAGCACACATCCTTGTCGCACGCCCTGTGTCACGAAGAACCAGTCCGATAGTTCTCCGTCGTCCATGCGCACCCGGGCCCGCATTCCATCGTGGAATTGGCGGATGACTTCGATCAGCTTCGCGGGAATCCCGGCCCTGGCCAGCACCTTCCATAGCATCTCTCGGTCCACCGAATCATACGCCTTGTTCAAGTCGACGAAGCACATGAGGAGCGGTATTTTCTTTCTCCGCCCCAGCTCCTGGAGGCGGCGCAGGACGAGCAGCATGTCGACGGTGGATCGCCCTGGTCGAAATCCGCACTGTTCCTCCGGGAGGATGTTGTTGGCTTCGCAGAAGGCGCTTAGACGGTTGGTGATGATCTTGATGGGGACCTTGCCTACGTGAGATAGTAGCGAAATCCCCCTGTAGTTGTTACAGTTGGACCGGTCACCCTCCTTGTACAGCACCTTGTTGGTTGCATCCTTCCACTCTCGCGGAATATCTTCTCCGTTCCACACCTTGACGAGGATGGTATGGAGGTGTCCCAGGACGAAGGGTTCGTCGTCATCGATCTTGAGCAACTCGGCAGGGAGGGAGTCATGGCCCGGTGCCTTCCAGTTCTTGAGGCCTTTCGTTGCCCGTGCCACCTCCTCGAGTTCTGGCACATCTCCCAACCGTTGAGAATACTGCTCTTCTACAATACCCAACCCACACACAACTCAGCAAGCGCCACCACCCCCGATCAATCTTTACTCTCACGGAACCCGCACAAGGCTGGACGAAATACGGGCACAACTCAACGAACTACTACAGTGGTAACGGCCCGTGCGGCTCTCCGCGTTTGCACAAAAGAACCCAGGTATACGTGAGAGTTGTTGGTGGGGATGATTCCTGTACAGTATACGCAAGACAATGTTCCTGCGCTGACGACGTGGCAGCATCAATAGCCAAAAACTATTGCAGAAAAACGAAATGCTCCGATTCCAGGTGGTCCACAGCCCGCCGAAAATGCCACACCCCGGATCGAAGAAGCCCCACTGAAGTTGCTACTGCTGCACTGCTGTAGACTATAGTTTTGTCCGAAGTTCTTGTGAAGCTTGGACTGGGTATATCCTCGAACATAGTCTAGACTAAACTTGACTTTTTCAGAGCACATCACAACTTCTTTCTTCCCCTCGCTGCCTCGGCAAGGTTTTGCGTAGGCATGACCCTTAGCGAGGGGGGGGGTCTTTCTAGCGAGCAGGGCTAGACTCACCCTCAAGGGACCGATACCTTCTTGCTGCGGCGCACCCGCCGCGAGGCGTGCGTAGTGGTGGAGTTGGGTCGGCACTGGTGCGTCAGGTACAAAGGTGCAGATGCGCGGGCCTGCAGGCCGTCGGTGTAGGCAGCAATGCCCATCTCATCCTTGTGCGCGGAGGCAGACGTCATCAGAAAGGTGGACGGGCACTATGTACACGGCCCTAGGTTTGCTAGAGGGAGCTGTACTGTCTCAGTAACCTGGTTTTGCCATCAAAGGAGGAGGGGACAGGTGTTGACGAGCTGATTGGGCTGGTTTACCCGTCGGCGCGAGAATTTCCAGACCAAGAACCCTAAGTGCAACTGAGGGAGAAAGCGAGGAACCGACTGGGATGGACAGCAACGAGAAGAGCGTGCATGAAGCGGAGCGGGTCGAGTTTGGTCGTGCTAGGACTGGCCACAGCGGCACTGGAGCAGTGGCACCGGAGCAGTGGCACTGGAGCATCGGAACCGGAGCAGGCGGACGGCATCGAACCGTGGCGCACGGACAAACATCTCTTGTTTTTCCGTTTTTTTCCTGAATAGACTACAGGTGTTGGGTGTGTGTGATGACGTCACTGGTTTTGTAGAGAGACGCGGCAGAGATGGCGCGGATAACGCGGGTGCCTTAATTGTGTACCTGCATCGTGGAAGACCCCTTCAATGTGGAACGATTCCTAGCCAGTGTCGATGTTTACACTGCTGTGCCTAACACAGATGATCTAGATAGATTCGGGTGATTGTCAATTGCAATGATGGCTTTGGTTGCGTGTTCTTCGTTGTATGTCCACGGACTCATTCTGTCAGCACTTCAGACAGCAGCTGCATGCCCCGAGCTTTTCTACCATGCACCATCATGGTGCTATTATTGTACAGACAGCACTTCAGACAGTAGTACGTTGTAGTCGACAAACATTCTGTATATATAGTCGATTTGGTGTGTGTGGGCGTGTAGTTCATTCAGTTGTGAGCATGCAAACAAACGTGCTGCAGGGATTGCAGGTGTACCTCGTCGGGCTTGCGTACCCTTTTCTTGCTAATAGTATGTGTGTTCTTTAGATCTTCTGAGATGGCTCTAACATTTTTGTGACCACGGACCGAGTCTTTGCTAGATTTTGGGATTAGCAACTGACCCGAGTTTAATAATGTGAAAAACAACAACAGCAACAACAACAACCATGCTGCAGGGTGAACGCAACGACACAACGGCACAACATTCGGCGAGAGGTTATGTACTACAGGCAGTAGAGGTCCCTGTTTAGTGCCAGTTGAATAGTGCCGGTTGCCGGTATAATGCCGGTGTTTTCGGCTCGCACACACTGGAATATCAAGTCATTCTGTACTTTGAATAGTGCCGGTACCCGGTATAGTGCCGGTGAATTTTTTGCGCACACCCCGGCACTAAACAGGGACTTCCACAGTTGTTTATAATGGATGTGGATACGGGTATGTCTGTGTTCAGGATGCATTTTTTTTTTTCCGGTCCGACAATTTGCAGATGTACCTCAGAAAACTTTCACTTAATGCCTCATACTCTACATCAATATAAACCCAATAGGTTTTGTAGAGTAGATACTCGAGTAATACCCGCGTAGCTTTAGTAGGTAGCCTAACCACTTCGGTGGAAAGCGGATTTCTGTTCGATACGGTGTCAGGGGTACCACGGAGGACGGGGCCGAGATTTGTTTGATTTCGGGTGGATGAGGTTGGGGTTTTGTTCGTTTTTCTCCATCTAAGGTTCGTGCCTAGAGTTCAGCTGTAACCAAAGTTTTGTTGACTTGGAGGCAAACATTCCTAGCTATTGGGCATCGAGTTAATTTGGCTTGGCATGACGGCCTTCACGATCGACTTTTTGTGTGTGTATGTCTGCATTTTTCTACAATTATTGTCGGATGGCAAAAAAAAGAAATAAGAGAGAATAAACACAACCTTGAGTGGTTACTACTGCTGTCCATGATAAGTGATCGAATTTTTTCCTGCCAAGTAATTCTTCCCACAAGCGTGAAGATTCAGCACGTATTTGAATCTATCCGTGGTTTGTGGAGGCGTGTTGGAATTCGGAAAGAAGCAGGGATACGGGAAGGTTGAAGAGCACCACGAGGTCAGAAAGTTTGTGTGTTCTCGCTGGGCGAGAGGCAAGCCAACGCGTACTTGAGAGAAGAGGCTCCAGATAGATGGCAGCTCCGAGGAGCAGCAGACACGGGGTGCTTTCTAGGAATTGGTCGATTTTCCCGCCCACCCACACCTATCGCTCAAGAGAGGGGGGAGCCTGGGGGGGGCTAGTCGGTGGACGACTAGATAGAGGGTATTCAGTGTATGGGAGTAGAGTTATTGAGTAAGATCTGTCTAGACCAGAGGCCAAAAACAAAAGGATAAATACTTGGGCAACCTAGGCAGGTTACTAACTAACGGGTTTGTCCGATGAGAAACGTTGGGAGCACGAAGAAGGCGCTTTATCTGCGCTCTCAATTAGTTGTTTTGTGTCTTGGTTTTTCTTTGTTGCCTGCAGAAAAATAATCCAGAACGAGAAAACCCTTGCTCCGTTATGAGCAAAGGTCCCCTGAAGTGGTGAATAGCCGTTCACCAACGGGGGTAATTTCGCATCAATTGCAATGTGGCAAGGCATGGCCAAGCGTGGCTGGCGTTAGTCAGCCTTGCTAGGGTGAAAGGTGAGAGTCGGCTTTAGGGGCTCGCTTCCACCCTCCGGCTGGTCACAGAAGGGGGAGGGTCTTCTCGTTGTGAAGATCTTCAGACCTCGAGAACGGCTTCCTGGGGTCACGGATCTATACCGTTGTATGTGCGTCCCTACTACTGGGAATATACCTGTAGACTATATAGACTACATATAATTTATTGTATTTTATGTTATTTTTTGCCTTCCGACAATTGCAGATGTACCTCAGACAACTTTCACTTTCACAAAATGTGGCGTCCTGCTGCAGCGGAGGTGGCGGTGCTGCTGTAGCTCGTAGACTTTGTAGTCTACCACAGAGGTTACACTGCTGTCACCGCTCCCTCACAGAGGTTGGTCTACACTGCTGTGAGATCGGTAGGCCCGAGCGAGATTGGAAAGAAAAATGTAGATAGATGTTCTCATCAATTGACTCCCTGGTCAGGCTTTGATGGGTGCTAGATGAGAGTGAGCACAAGGGGCGAAGGCGGGCTTGTGTCTCATCTCAACAGCAAAACAAAACAAAAAACAAGCAGCAACACAGCAAGTTCCGAGGGTCTCTGGGTAATGGCCCGAGTACCGGAATTTCGGGGTTCGGAACAAAAAAAGAACAACTTACTACAGTCTCGCCTGCCAAATCATCTCCGCTACAACTCTGTGCTCATGTTCTCTGCTGGGTACCATCTCTTCTTTCTGTATTATGTCTACGGAAGGCTAGTCGACGCAGTCGCACCTATGGTAAACTGTGCCTCACTACGTTGTACAACAGTTTTCCTCGACACGACCCCTCGATTAGGCAAGTAGCCGATGTTCCAAAGCTTCACTTCGCTGCCATTTTTGCGACCCCTCGATTCCCAATCCATATCAAAGAATATCGACCTCCACATGAGTGAATCCATCCTGTGAGCAATACACGCGTTCAAAACATTCAACCATACTATGCGATCTTGTGCTTAATATCTTCTAGCACTTGTAGTCCTTGATGAGTTGCATGATGGTGGCGAATCGCTGCTTCGG